TTCACATGTTGAAAGGCGTTCTGGATGTGCGAGAGCTGGAACAATCCGGTAAGTCGACCTCAGTTAAGTCTTATTTTCTTTTCCTAACCTTTGCTGCTGCCTTTAATCCGATGCCTCGCATTATATCGACCTAGTGTCCTCTAAACCATGCTAACGCGTTGATTAGTTGGGAAGGTTACTCTCCGCACACTCTTAGACGATGATCTTATTCTCGAAAGAATGACATGTCCCATAGGTGTATTGCTTATAATATTTGAGGCGCGCCCAGAAGTGATTGTGAACATCGCAGCCCTATCAATTAAGTCCGGAAATGCAGCTATCTTAAAAGGTACTTGTACTAATCAATCCATTTAACCGTCATATAGCCATTGCAGAGAGCTGATAACAAATTCGATTGAAGGGGGCAAGGAATCGACGGAATCCTTCGTGGCCATCTCCAATGTCCTTGCAGAAGCAATATCCCTGTCACAAGTTCCAAACGCTTCTATCCAGCTTGTGAAAACAAGAGATGCAATCCTCCCCCTCCTTGCGCAGGATAAACATATCGATCTCGTCATTCCCCGCGGATCTAACGACCTCGTCCGCCACGTGAAGGATAACACTAAAATCCCCGTCCTCGGGCATGCGGATGGCATCTGCTCGATATATCTTCACTCGGATGCCGACTTGTTAATGGCGAAGAAAATTATCATTGATGCCAAAACCGGCTATCCCGCCGCCTGTAACGCCGCGGAGACACTATTGGTGGACCGCGATGCCCTGTCCGTTCAGCTACCAGCCATTGCGGAGGCCCTGCTCTCAAAAAGCGTCAGCCTTCGTTGTGATGCTTTATCGAAACAAGCTCTCCAGGAAAAGCTCACAGCGGCCCAATCTGCACTACTGCAAGACGCAACCGAGACTGATTACAACACTGAGTTTTTAGACCTCACTCTCGCCATCAAAACGGTTACGCCTTCATCTACGGAGACCTCTGTTGACGCTGCCATTGCCCATATAAATGCACATTCTTCGAAACACACAGATGCCATTTTAACTTCCTCAAAGACTACTGCGGAACGTTTCCTAGCTGGTGTCGATAGCGCTGGTGTTTATTGGAACGCGAGCACTCGATTAGCTGACGGAATGCGATACGGGTTTGGGACAGAAGTTGGGATTAGTACGAACAAGATTCATTCAAGGGGACCAGTAGGCTTGGAGGGTTTGACTATCTACAAGTATTTAATTAGGGGTAACGGTCAGGCTGCTGGTGATTATTTTGAAGGTGAGGGTGGAAAAAGCTGGAAACATCGGCAGTTAAGTATATAGTATCCTGGGGAATGTCTGCCGCGGAGCGCATATGATCGATATTCCCCCCAGAAAGAAAAAGTAATGACGTATATAATTTGCCGGGGAAGGGAGCGGCTTCTCCGTTCCCCCCCTAACTTTTATTCCATCCCAAGTCTTGGAATTTTAAAAGTGTTATCCCGTAGGTTACACCCTTGTATGGTGGATTGCAGGCTGAGACTGCTACCCTATACTCACTTTGTAGGAAACCCTTGTTACTGTTATTTCGCTTCTCCCTTCCTTTTCAATGAGGGGAAGAAAAAAAAAATCGGTGAAATTAGACGAAATAAATGAAGAAAAGGTTCAGGAACTCTGGGGAGGTAAAGTTGTCAAGCATAACTCATTATGGGCTCGTTCAATTTGACTAGAAACCTACAATGGCTAACTTCGCAAGCCCGCCTCAAATATTTTGCTGAACCCAAATAAGAACCATAGAAAAATAAACACCTTAAACCTTGAAGCCTCGCGACCGTCTCCGACCACGAGCTCGTTCGAATTTTCGACCTTTACTTTGAACTCTTGGTTTCTACACAGACAAAAAGCAGCGGGTTAGTAAAAACTGAATATCCAGGTGAGATGAATATGCGTATCTATTGGAAAGCATCTAACCTTTCCACTATGTGGACCGAATCCGAAATGTTTGAAAGACTCCCTGGCATTTTTGGGACCTCGTAGCAGCAAAGTATTGGCGCCAGTTGGGGCTCTGAGCGCGAGTTGGTCTAGAGTCAAGGTCTCACCGCCAGCTTTTTCAATTCTGGCCCTTGCGGTGGCAGTAAATCGGAGAGCTGCGACCGACATCTTTGGGACGTTGAGGAGGCGATTGTCATCAGTAATGGTACCAACAACAACAATAGTCTTTCCCTTGTTTGCTTCAGCGGTCTCCTTGGTTCCTACGGCGGCTACGATTCGAGATAGAGAAACGGGAGGACGATTGACGCGTGACATAAAGAGACGGCGTAGGATGACTTTGTTGAAGTTCGAGTCGGTACGACCTGTTTGTTATTTGGTTTTCAGATCTCTATTTTTTGTGGTGTGCTCTCCTTTCGGCCTAATTCTTCGAAAGGCTTCGCGGGGATTTTAGCTTACGGGCAAGGAAGCGGTAAAGCTTCACGAGAAGTAGGAGGTAGACATTCTCGCTCTTAGGTGCTTTGCGGTGGGAGCCCCGAACATGGTGACGGTCCAAATCGATACCTGCGAGGATTGAGAAGAGATTTGTGTCAGTACTCCACGGCAGCCGCTAGTCAGGTCTAAATAGAGCAAAACATTCAAAACAAATTCAGGATAACATTTGTTCCAAGTAACTTACCCATGGCTGCTGATGGAAATGGATACCGTTGTCGAAAGCTGACTTTTGAACCGATGCGAGATTCTAAGGTAGTCAGTCAGATGTGTTGCTTGACAAGATTTTTGGAGCAAGTTGGAGGGAGTGTGCGGGCGTAACCCTACGCTAGCTCGTTTGGGACAGGTTGTCAAAGAGCCGCGTTCCTAGCTTTACCATACCTCGCTAGTAAATGGAAAGTAGTGCGACTGCAAACTTTGGCAGAAGATACAGCCAGAGAGCAGGTGGAGATGCGGTGAGTCGTCCAGCAAATTGATGATCTGGGTATACACCTCGATATCTATACACTGATGTATTTACAACATTTTGCGCCGAACAGCTAGTCTATAGAATTTAGATTCAAGAACAATTTTCGGTTTCCCCACTCTTAAAACGATGTCAACTTGTTCGACCTCTAGCAATTTTTCGGCTGGTCAAATGCGAGAAGTATAGGGAAATTCAGGGAACAGATGTTAAAATAGAAAGCGAAATGACAAAAGAGACAGATAGGTGAAACACAATTAACCGCCGAAGAGAAAATGTCTAGTATGTATGGAACGAGATGGCAGGGTAAGGACTCTTTGACACGGTCATGGCACAGAATGCGAATAGGAATTGGCTGAAATTGATCACAACACGGGAGCGAATGTCGGGGACAGGTTGTCAATTTGGTTTTGGATCATATAATCTCTATTCATCATCACCGAGGCCGACCAAAAAATCACGCGTTAGTTCATAGCTGAGCCAACTGCTCGCCATGCTTGGGGCCACTTTGAGTAAGTTCGGAACAATTCCTTTATATAAACCTCTAACTCCTTCTTGCTTCACGATAACCTTCACTGCATCCCATACTGAGGTGTACTGGTACCCCAAACCCGACATGGTGTTGACCTGGAACCTTCTTCGAAGGACATCACTGCAGCGACTAATTAGACAGCAATCAAGAAAGTAAAGGAAACCCCGTCTTACAATGGATATGTGCATGTTTGTGCAACAGCTCCTGATATTGCGCCGGCCAACAACTTGCGGTAAGGACTAGGGTTAAGGTCTCCTTCAGGCGTAAGGTACTTTCGTACTGACTCATAAGTCATAAAATTTAATCCAACCTTTTAAAAGCGTTTAGAGTTTGTCATTGGGATAATGGGGTTCCGTTTTAGTGATTCAACACTTACGTAAGGAGCAACTCCGGCAATAGTGGGGATTATTCCGCGGTACAGCGCAAGGAAGCCTCCTTCAGTCTTGTACATCAACCGCATTGTTTGGAATATTCCAGGCAACTGCTTTTCTTGTCCTTTCCGCAATTCCCTAAACGACGCAGACTGGATCGAAAGTCGTGTCCTTACGATATCTAATGGATAAGTAAATGTGACAGACGTGATACCCGCGATACCTCCACATATTAAGCGACGAAGAGGAGTAAGTTCTGCCCCAGGAGCCGGCTCAAAGAGCTGAGGTCTTTGTTAGCAAATAAACAGTAAATATCGCAACACGGGTTGGAGAATCCAATAGCGTGAAGTAGTAGCGATCAAGATGGCATTAAATTTATTAAAAATGAAATTAAGCAAGACAAGGGAGAGTAAATATTAGACGGAAGAGAAATAAATGGACGTAGGCGTACCCTTCTATAAAAGCTATAGCTTCCAAATTGTACAGCAGAATAAGGCACTATTCGTATGCAATTTGTCCCGTTGCCACGCATGTAGCCTTTCCACCCTTCTTCTTTGCCTATTTTCACCAATGCTTTCCATATTGACAGTTTGTATTCCGTTCGGCCAACGCTCTGGATTTGAAGCAAAATCTTCAATCGCTCGAGGGGGGAGACTATTGTTCGCGATACCGCACCAGCAACCCCACCCGCAATGAAGGCAGCCGTCACGGGTTCTGATAATCTGTCCCTAATCTGTCTAACGACAGGCGTAGGCGGTTGTGGGAGAGGGTCCTGATCGAATTCATTAGAGAAGTACGTACCCTTGGGGAGCTTGCAGGTGCGGAGAGGTATGAGATTCAAAAGGGGAGCGATACGGTAATTCATATTCATACCTTTATACGCGACTCGGATTTGCCAGATGATAAGGGTGTCATCTCCTTTTCCGAAGTTTCATTTCGAGCCGCATCTCTAGGACCGAGGCTCATGGTGAGGAACCCGTTTCACGAACCCTAACTCCCACGTAAGGGTTGAGTCCCTGATCTCGCAAACTAGCCAAAACACGTTGGACGAGTAAATCACTTCGTGTGAGTATCTTGGGAAAGCTCTTTCATCAGGCGGGGATCAAAAGAGAAATACAACGCTCTGCAGATATGTGCTACTGGTCTGAAAGGCAGTCTTCTGGCAACAAAAGTCTTGACACTGCGCAGTCCATGGAAAAGCGTACAGCCGTGAGGCAGTCTCGATATTAAAAGCGATGGTCCGAGGCGAGGGGTGAGAGATTGGATGTCTATTTTGCAAATGGTATATTTTCTCCTTCTCACACGCGCCTAATTCCTTATCAACCTGTCAAACGGCTGAAACAGAGAATAGGGCTGAGTGAAGGATACGTCAACTGATCAGGTTGGGAGATCGCACTAGGACAATGATACCAATTGCAACAAGAAGCCGTGACGATATTGCCTGGCAGATGGTGGGGCATTTAACTAATGAGCGTAGCGGCAATAAACAAATTCCAAAGCGCTCCAGCGTCCCAATTTTGCGCTGGCTTCAAATTGATTTTGGTTTTTTTTTTTTTTTTTTTTTTTTTTTTTGGGAAATCTTGTTCCTATTTTTTTCGCGCTTCCAAGTTGTTGCTTCCAATATCACGTGACATGATTGTAAACCGCTCCCAAAGCGTGCCTTTCCAAGGTTCCAAGGTTGGTTTCGTGAAATATCAAATTCGAGTGTGCCGTAGATGCACAGGAGAGGCTGTTCACGATATTGCCATGATTATATTATCATTATAGCTGTGGAAGTCAAGAAAGCCATACAATACCGCACCAAACAAGTTGATACGATGGACCAAGTATTGACCATAATATC